ATATATATATATATATATATATATGATGAGCCAGAGACCACAGAAAAAATGCATTTAATTACCGCAGACCTCGATATGGAAAAGCATTCGAACATTCCTGATGCTGAGCCTGCTCTCTCTCAGCGTCTCAATATCTGGATAATAGATACAATAACATGTTTGCCACATGCTCGTGAATAATTGCATGTCTGTGTCTCGTCCACAGAAGCGGCAGCCTTTGCCCCTGTCGCCGCAGAACTACGAGGTTAACTTACCCACCAGCTTCCACCAGGCCTCGGCTGGATACGGCGTTCCCAACCACACGCCACCCATCAGCACCACGGATGGCATCATGGGTAAGAGTCTCCACCCTGACGCCACCACAAACCAGAGAGCAGCGCTCGGCTTCTCTGCTGCGTCTGAGTCACTCACATTCACCTGTAAACTTGAGCTTCATTCTCTGTTAGCAGTTAGCAGAGCTGGAAACACAGGCAGCTCCGGCGCGGAGATCGGGAAAGCTCTCGCTTCGGTGAGTTTGGGGTTTCACAGTGTGACATTTACAGTTTAATGCGGTGATTAACTAGTGGTTGACCATTTCTCAGAGGCTAGTTATCACTAGTGGAGTAAGCAGTGGCTTATATGGATGATCATGTTGAGATCCGACTTAATTACACATTTATTGTATTGTTGTTTATTCAAAATTTATTTTGGAACTGTATGGATTTTTAGGGGAAAATGTGTTAATCATCAAACGCCAATCTCAAATTGGCTAATTATCGACTGGTTAATCAAGTTTGCTTATAAAGATTTTGGAGTTTAAGAATAGGCTTTTTTTTAGAATAATGTTTTTTTTATAATTTTAAGAGTTAAATCATTTTAATTGGCAATGCCACACAGGATGTTGAATTGGAATGACAGGAAGAGGAGTTTCCTGAATTGCAGTTTTGTGACTAAACATAAATAATTGGATTAATCAGAAGTTATTTGATTATGCATATTTGTTCATTCATAAATTATTGTAGTGTTTTTTTTTTATTATTATTTTTTATTTTTTTTAATTTGTTAAATATTTAGTATTTTTAGTAATTTACTGTTATTTTAATTAGTTTTTTTCCTAGTTAGTTTTTGTTTTTATAAATTTTTATTTCAGTTTCAAGAAATGTGATTTCTTCAACTTAAATGAACAAAAATTTAAATGTTGCCTTGGCAACTAAATTAAATTATTATAATTATTACATTTACATTTTATTTCAGTTAATGTTTTTTATTTTTTTCAATTAAAGTAATTGTTTACACAAAAATATATTTTTACACATTTTCTCCACTGATGAGACATAATTCTCTAAATTTAGTCCAAACCACTAATTTTAATTTTAATTTAATTGCCGCTGAAATTGCAGCACAAAATGTTCACTACATTGTTTTGAGAACTTAATGAAAATACATATTAACAGAAATTATTTGTATTGTTTATATAATGTTTTCTGGACCCATAAAATCAAAGTTTACACTCTCTCTTTCTCTCACACACACACACACACACACACGTTTACCACAGTCCAGTGCTCTGCTGCAGGGACACCACGCCCCCCATCAGGCTCCGCCCACTTCCCAGTCCGACACCTTTACCAGTCAGTGCTGCTTTAATTATAATGCTCATTTCATGACATTTGATTGATTGAGATTCCTAAATGATGTGCTTTGTGCAAGTATTTTAACTGACAAGCATGCAAAATGTTTTTGTATCATGCATGCTTTTCAGACACTACTTATCTGTAGCTCAAACATGGTGTTAGAAACGATGAGTTCATGGGTTCGATTCTCAGGGAATGCATGAACCGATAAAAGGCATACCTTGAATGCAATGCAAGTCGCTTTGGATAAAAGCATTTGCCAAATGCATAAATGTACGTTCATGAGTCTTCATCCTTTAAAGAATTACAGGATAATTTCACAGTGCTGTTGCCGCCGCACAGTGTGATCAGCATTTTCTGTTGCTAATCTCATCTTGTTTTTGTCTGTCAGGTCTTTCTCTGCCTCGTTCCTCCAGCTCGGAAATAAAGCGGGAAGATAAGGAAGACGATGAGAACCTGTCTATCGGAGATAAATCAGAGGACGAGAAGAAAGACGGAAAAAGCCACACGCGAACGAGGTACCTGCCGCCCCGCGAACCTTCATTTAGTTAAATATACAGTACAGGTCAAAAGTTTGGAATAATTAAGATTTTTTTGAAAAAAGTCTCTTCTCCTCATCCAGGCTGCATTTATTTAAACAGTGAAATGTTTTTAAAATGTAAAATAACTGTTTTCTATGTGAATATCTGTTAAACTGTAATTTATTTCTGTGATCAAAGCTGAATTTTCAGCATCATTACTCCAGTCACATGATCCTTCAGAAATCATTCTAATATGCCGACAGAAAACAGCTTTATTTGCAATAATAATTCACAATATTATTGCTTTTTTGGAAAATTTTTGGTCAAATAAATGCAGCATTGGTGAACAGAAGAGACTTCTTTCAAAAACACAAAAAAATCTAATTCGAAACATTTGATTGCTAGTAGCTAAGGTTGTAGTTGATAGAGTTGCATCTGTAAACATTCGATATACTCATCGTTCCCACTTCCAGCAGCTTCCAATTGGTCCGTTGTAAAACATTGACGTGAGGTACACGTCGTCCCTGTCAGTGTGCCCTGATTGTTTTGCCTGTAACCCCTCTCAACCCTTTGTTCCTTTGACCCATGAAGTCAAGATGAAGAAGAAGATGATGAGGATTTGCCGATTGAGGTGAAGGCGGAGCGGGAGAAAGAGCGGCGCGTGGCCAATAACGCCCGTGAGCGTTTGCGTGTGCGCGACATCAACGAGGCCTTCAAAGAGCTGGGCCGCATGTGCCAGATGCACATGAACAATGAGAAACCTCAGACCAAACTGCTCGTCCTTCACCAGGCAGTAAACGTTATTCTCAACCTGGAGCAGCAAGTGCGAGGTCAGTGTGTGCGGCTGACCTCCGATCAGTGCTCAGGCACGAGATCTCAGACAACACGGAGATCCGTCTGTGCTCGGGACACCTGAATGGGTCGCAAGGGGTGGAGGATGGATTTGTTGATTAGAGATATTAAATGCTTGATGGATAAATGCATGTGCATTGAATGCATAATGTTCTGGGTTCAATACAAAATAGATTATTTTAAGGCAAGACACTACAAGCAAAAATGAACTGGTTAGTTTTGAGCTTTTTGGTTTTTCATAATGTGTTTCAGACTAGTGGAAAGAAAACACCTAAAATACACATTTAAATGTTTATTTTATCTATTTGCGTCTGTAGATTTTAATTACAAAACATATATTTTAAAGTTTTTTCCTCCACTTCAGCAGCACTTGCATACACCAAAACTTAGGGTTTTATTCCTCTCTATATTCCGAAAGTTTTTAATGAGGGGTTTGTTCATATATCATTCACATTGATTTATATATCATTTTATTCCTAAAAACATGGCGAAAATGCATATCTTTAAAAGCTATAAGTATTTTTTCCTCCACTTCAGCAGCACTTGCATACTCCAAAACTTAGGGTTTTATTCATCTCTATATTCTGAAAGTTTTTACTGAGGGGTTTGTTCATATATCATTCACACTGATATTTACACATACATTTTATTCCTAAAAACATGGCGAAAATGCATATCTTTAAAAGCTATAAGTATTTTTTCCTCCACTTCAGAAGCACTTGCATACACCAAAACTTAGGGTTTTATTCCTCTCTATATTCTGAAAGTTTTTACTGAGGGGTTTGTTCATATATCATTCACACTGATATTTACACATACATTTTATTCCTAAAAACATGGCGAAAATGCATATCTTTAAAAGCTATAAGTATTTTTTCCTCCACTTCAGAAGCACTTGCATACACCAAAACTTAGGGTTTTATTCCTCTCTATATTCTGAAAGTTTTTACTGAGGGGTTTGTTCATATATCATTCACACTGATATTTACACATACATTTTATTCCTAAAAACATGGCGAAAATGCATATCTTTAAAAGCTATAAGTATTTTTTCCTCCACTTCAGAAGCACTTGCATACACCAAAACTTAGGGTTTTATTCCTCTCTATATTCTGAAGGTTTTTACTGAGGGTTTTGTTCATATGTCATTCACATTGATTTAATTCCTAAAAACATGGCTAAATTGTTTTCTTTCTGTCTGACAGTATTTTCAAATTTATGGAGTAATAAAAAGAGAAATCCAAAATCCCCTCTGTAAAAACCTTTAACTCTAATATGTCAACAAAATCAAACAAAAATTTTGAACCTGGCTTTATCCATTGTTCAGGAAAATCTATGCAAATTAGTGCATCTTTAACTAGATAATGCCTCATTTTCATATTTAAACGACAGAAAACTTGATGTAATTAATAAACTGAGGAAGTATGGTGAAATCTATTAGTTAATTGCTTTACCCTATTCACATGTGGTGTCTTGCCTTAAAATATGCCCTAGAAACAGCCTAGCAACACCCTGGCACCCAGCCAAGTTGCATTAAATTCAAGAATATTTCCTTTTAATAGTATCTTAGATTATACAAATTTAAACATATATTATTAAAATATGTAAGTTATTCAAATTGATCTTGGTAGTAATTCTTTTGAGGTACGTTATGCAGTATGTTACGTAAGCTTCCATCCTCCCCGCAGCCCACACAGGTGTCTGTTAAGGGTGATTGTGGGACTGTCTGCACTTTCTGTAACTGTGCATGTGTTTCTATCTGTCATTTCATATTTAGCACTCATCCCTTCCTGTTTTTTGTTCATCTCACCTGCTTGCAAGATTCATGCAACTAACAGACTCAGATTAAAGCTAGATTGGTAGTTAAAGGAATAAATGTAAATTGTCATTTACTCACTCTAGGAACTTTTTGAAGAATGTTAGTGATCATACAATGACTGTCAACTCAAAAAAGCAGCATGAAAGTAGCCCAAATGACTTGTGTGCATGATATTCCTATTCTTTTGATGTCACGTGATAGTTTTATTTGAGAAACAGACCTGAATGTTTCTGATCTGTTGTAGTTATCACATTTTATTCACACCACAACACTAAAGAAACAATTGTGGTGTCATTGATGTCAAACTTGGTGCAAACTAGAGTTATTTTAGCTTTTTTGTATGCTATTATAGTTTTTATTTTATATAGTTTTTTTGTTTTGTTTTCATTGTTTCTTTTAATTTGTTTAAATTAGTCATAGTTTTGTGTACTTTGTCTTATATATATATATATGTGTGTTTTATACTATATACTATATTTTTTATATATATATAACGCCCGTGAGCGTTTGCGTGTGCGCGACATCAACGAGGCCTTCAAAGAGCTGGGCCGCATGTGCCAGATGCACATGAACAATGAGAAACCTCAGACCAAACTGCTCGTCCTTCACCAGGCAGTAAACGTTATTCTCAACCTGGAGCAGCAAGTGCGAGGTCAGTGTGTGCGGCTGACCTCCGATCAGTGCTCAGGCACGAGATCTCAGACAACACGGAGATCCGTCTGTGCTCGGGACACCTGAATGGGTCGCAAGGGGTGGAGGATGGATTTGTTGATTAGAGATATTAAATGCTTGATGGATAAATGCATGTGCATTGAATGCATAATGTTCTGGGTTCAATACAAAATAGATTATTTTAAGGCAAGACACTACAAGCAAAAATGAACTGGTTAGTTTTGAGATTTTGAGCTTTTTGGTTTTTCATAATGTGTTTCAGACTAGTGGAAAGAAAACACCTAAAATACACATTTAAATGTTTATTTTATCTATTTGCGTCTGTAGATTTTAATTGCAAAACATATATTTTAAAGTTTTTTCCTCCACTTCAGCAGCACTTGCATACACCAAAACTTAGGGTTTTATTCCTCTCTATATTCCGAAAGTTTTTAATGAGGGGTTTGTTCATATATCATTCACATTGATTTATATATCATTTTATTCCTAAAAACATGGCGAAAATGCATATCTTTAAAAGCTATAAGTATTTTTTCCTCCACTTCAGAAGCACTTGCATACACCAAAACTTAGGGTTTTATTCCTCTCTATATTCTGAAAGTTTTTACTGAGGGGTTTGTTCATATATCATTCACACTGATATTTACACATACATTTTATTCCTAAAAACATGGCGAAAATGCATATCTTTAAAAGCTATAAGTATTTTTTCCTCCACTTCAGAAGCACTTGCATACACCAAAACTTAGGGTTTTATTCCTCTCTATATTCTGAAGGTTTTTACTGAGGGTTTTGTTCATATGTCATTCACATTGATTTAATTCCTAAAAACATGGCTAAATTGTTTTCTTTCTGTCTGACAGTATTTTCAAATTTATGGAGTAATAAAAAGAGAAATCCAAAATCCCCTCTGTAAAAACCTTTAACTCTAATATGTCAACAAAATCAAACAAAAATTTTGAACCTGGCTTTATCCATTGTTCAGGAAAATCTATGCAAATTAGTGCATCTTTAACTAGATAATGCCTCATTTTCATATTTAAACGACAGAAAACTTGATGTAATTAATAAACTGAGGAAGTATGGTGAAATCTATTAGTTAATTGCTTTACCCTATTCACATGTGGTGTCTTGCCTTAAAATATGCCCTAGAAACAGCCTAGCAACACCCTGGCACCCAGCCAAGTTGCATTAAATTCAAGAATATTTCCTTTTAATAGTATCTTAGATTATACAAATTTAAACATATATTATTAAAATATGTAAGTTATTCAAATTGATCTTGGTAGTAATTCTTTTGAGGTACGTTATGCAGTATGTTACGTAAGCTTCCATCCTCCCCGCAGCCCACACAGGTGTCTGTTAAGGGTGATTGTGGGACTGTCTGCACTTTCTGTAACTGTGCATGTGTTTCTATCTGTCATTTCATATTTAGCACTCATCCCTTCCTGTTTTTTGTTCATCTCACCTGCTTGCAAGATTCATGCAACTAACAGACTCAGATTAAAGCTAGATTGGTAGTTAAAGGAATAAATGTAAATTGTCATTTACTCACTCTAGGAACTTTTTGAAGAATGTTAGTGATCATACAATGACTGTCAACTCAAAAAAGCAGCATGAAAGTAGCCCAAATGACTTGTGTGCATGATATTCCTATTCTTTTGATGTCACGTGATAGTTTTATTTGAGAAACAGACCTGAATGTTTCTGATCTGTTGTAGTTATCACATTTTATTCACACCACAACACTAAAGAAACAATTGTGGTGTCATTGATGTCAAACTTGGTGCAAACTAGAGTTATTTTAGCTTTTTTTGTATGCTATTATAGTTTTTATTTTATATAGTTTTTTTGTTTTGTTTTCATTGTTTCTTTTAATTTGTTTAAATTAGTCATAGTTTTGTGTACTTTGTCTTATATATATATATATGTGTGTTTTATACTATATACTATATTTTTTATATATATATATTTTTAAATATAAAAATTTTGGTTTAGCTTGTTTTTATTTCTGTTTTAATTTGTTATTTTTCAGTTTTTATTTTCAGTTACTAATTCTAACACATTTCAATTTGTTACCAAGGCAATGTTTTTAAATTTTCTAAACTTCATTTCAATTAACAAAAATGTTTTAATAGTTTTAGTTTTAGTTAATGATAATAACCCTGGTGCAAACATGTCTTGATGCGACAAGTATGAATAAACACATGCACAGATGAGACTTTCAGGGAATAAAGGTTTAAATATTAGTCATTTCCCCTCAGAACATGATCATGTGACTTCAGAATAGTGCACTAGTCATATGGACTACTATTATAACATGGTGCTTTTTTGTCATTTTTGGAGTTGACAGTTGACAGAAGCTCATGACTCATAAGGGTTGAGTAAACGATGGCATTTTGATTATTCCTTTAAGACGATTATGAATGCAACCGCCCATAATGCATGCACACATCCTGATATCCACAGTGGAGATCATCTAGATGCTTCTGTTTGTCTTTCCAATTGTTCAGTCCTTTCAAATCTGCCTTCATACATCTTATAGTTTTCTTTTCCTTCCTGTTTGACTGTTGCATGTCTGCTGAGAAAACGCTTTTTCAGCAGGCATTAACCCCGCAGATTAGAAGAGACGGACTTGTTCTTTTGTGTTTCCTTAATGTTTTACTCGCTTTGGTTTGTGATGGTCTGATTAATGCTTGCATGTCATGTTTAACCCTCTGTTTGCCAGGTTGTTTTTCTTTTTACCCATCTCTCCATCTGTTCTTCAGCCCTTTTCTTTGCAGATGGCCGCAGTGGTTTTTAGTCTCATGCTGCATAAATGCATCTCAGCAGCGGGATGCGTTTACAATGAGACAGTCGCATTCACCTCATCCTGTCTTCTGTCTGGCTCTCTCAGTGGCAGTGTGTGTTTCTGTTCGGTTCTTGGCAGAAGTCTTGGCAGACTTGGCATCTCTCTCATCTTGCTGTCCTCTCGTCTTGCGCTCTTTCGCTCCGCGGCAGATCCCACAGGCCTCCTGAAAGCCTCTGACATTGTAATGAAATTGAAATTGCGTGTCCAGTCACAATTAGCGAATGATTCTCTGGATCGGTCGCGTCCCGCTCTCCTCTCCGCACCACTGGATCCCTCTCTGCATCCCTCGTTTAACTGGAATCAGTGCAGTTTTAATCGGACACTTCCAATTGGTCTGAAATTTAAAATGCAGCATTTGTTTCTTCTTTTGAAATCTTAAATATTTGTCTAATGTTTAACATGTAAAACAGGATTAATGACACTAGAGTTCTGCAGGGAATCTTTTTAGGGCATGTTAAAATTGTGGTAATTGTCTTTGGTGGAACAAAACAAAATTATATATACAGTAGTTAACATTTGAAGTGGATCAAAACCTTTGATTAACTTTTTTGATCCACTGTTGATCACTGTGTGTGTGTGTGTGTGTGTGTGTATATATATATATATATATGATATTTCAGTATAATATTTAAATTTAATGAAATATTTTATTTTAATATAAGAAAATAATACAAATATTATATATACATTTAGTAAAATATAATTACAGTATATAAAGTAATATTTATAATTTCAGTAAAATTATAATGCAAAATAAAATGTTTATTATATTATAATACAATTGTATATGTTATAATTATAGTTATATTATATTATTATAATATTATTATATTTTATAATATATTATAGTAAGATATTATAATATTATACAAATACATAATATATTTTTTATTCTAATAAAATTATATTTAATATAATAATTTAGTATATATGTATTATATATTTTTAATTTATAATTTTTTTATTTTATGCATTTAGCAGACGTTTTTATCCAAAGCGACTTGCAGTGCATTCAGGCTATACATTTTGTACCAGTATGTGTTTTCCCTATCTAAAATTATAATGATTTATAATATTTGTATATATAATAAAATTAATTTTAACATTATGCTAATTTATTTAATTTACATTATATATAATGTATATCTAAAACATTATGATTTATATAATTATATATGTAAAATAAAAATGTATATATATATATTTATAAATGTATACAAATTATTAATTTTATATAAATCATAATTTTAGATATACATTTATATATATATATATAAACACACATACATGTGTGTGTGTGTATAGATATGTAGAACAAATTTACTGCAATTAACAGATTCTTCATTAGTTGCAAGGTTCTTTTCAACTTAATGAAGCCGAAACAGTTCATTTAGTTGTAGAATGGACTTAATGAGAGGCTAAATGAGTTAACGAGATGACTAACGAGCGCCTGGTCGCCCCTGGCAGCAGCGTGTCGGAGGAGTGTCTGACGGTGGAGGAGAAGGAGCAGCGCGAGCGCGAGCGGCGCATGGCCAATAATGCTCGGGAGCGGGTTCGTGTGCGCGACATTAACGAAGCCTTCAGGGAGCTCGGCCGCATGGTGCAGCCGCACCTGAAGAGTGACAAGGCTCAGACTAAACTCATCATCCTCCAGCAGGCCGTGCAGGTCATCCTGGGCCTGGAGAGACAGGTGCGAGGTAGGACCAACCCCTGTGAGCCGCCACCGTCCTGCCGAGAAACACCAGACACACACCGCCGCTGCTGCTGCTGAGAGCCGCCGCCTCTTTCCTCGCTTTGGCTGCCGCTCGCTGTGTGTTTGTGTGATGCTGATCTGTGTGTGTCTGATGCTGACCTTTAGCATCTTTCTGAACACGTCCTGCCTCGCTTAACGTGATTTACGCAAGTAGTGACATTTGCTCACATTAACGTTCTTAGCAATCCTCAGTTACGGTTTGAGCTGATTGATTATGATTGGATCAACCAAATATATTAGGATTAATCTAAAAAAAAAAAAAAAAACATGTCTAAATCATATTTCACCCAAAAATAAAAGAAAACGGCAACAAGGCATTACCACAGTGCATGTCCAAAAACTATATGTGACCCTGGAGCACAAAACCAGTCATAAGTGTAATTTTTTTAATTGAGATTTATGCATCATCTCAAAGCTGAATAAATAATCTTTCCATTGATGTATGGTTTGTTAGGATCGGACAATATTTGAAAATCTGGAATCTGAGGGTGCAAAAAAATCTAAATATTGAGAAAATCATCTTTAAAGTTGTTCAAATGAAGTTCTTAGCAATGCATATTACTGATCAAAAATTAAGTTTTGATATATTTACGGTAGGAAATTTACTAAATATCTTCATGGAACATGATCTTTACTTAATATCCTAATGATTTTTGGCATAAAAGAGAAATGTATAATTGTGACCCATACAATGTATTGTTGGCTATTGCTACAAATATCCCCCAGCGACTTAACACTGCTTTTGTGCTGCAGGGTTGGCAGTGGTATAAGATCAGGTATTGTAATTTGTGGCATTTCATGGTTCATTTTTTTAATTATAGAAACCGTGAATGTGAAGTCATACAACTTGATTTATAATTCTAATTATTCGTAAAGGTAAATGTCATTAGATCCTTTAGTGTTACCCTGAGGTATAAATACTTAAAAATATGTACAACAAATTGTATTATATCCTTTTGTTATAATATATTATTATTATTATTATTATTATTATTATTATAGTAGTTTAATATTAATATATTACATAAAAATTTTATAATATAAATATATAAAAATGAACAAAATATATACAAATATAATAGTGTTACTATATAAATTAATATTATATTAATATTAACATATTAACTTTACATCACATAATATAAAATATATATAGTGTATAGAATAAAAATTATAAAAATATATAGAATAACTTTTTAAATATAGTTATATTTTAAAAAAATCATTTTGACGTATATAAAATGCACAGTATAACGATTATGATATAGATATATTATAGCATGTAACAGAATAGTGATTTTTTACATAAAAATTGTGTTAATTTTTAATTGCATAATATATTATATAAAAATACAATGTATAAAATATATAAGAGTTAAAAATACAGTGTAAGTATGTCTTATGAGTCACATTGTGGTGATGAGAATATTTCTCGGTCCAGTAATTCTTTGTTTTTGGGATGAATTATGAGTCTGATGTGTTCTTCACAGGTTTTGTTGTAGTAACTCGAGTAAATCCCGTTGTGCTTTCTTCCTCCCACATGCTCTTATCATTACACATGCGTGAATGTTTGAGGAGCTTACTCTGACTTCTGATCGCTGTCGCTGTTTTGTTCAGAGCGTAATCTGAACCCGAAGGCTGCGTGTCTGAAGAGGAGAGAGGAGGAGAAGGCCACAGGAGAGCCGCAGATGCTGTCAGGTCTGGGAGGAGACGGACACGGCCATATCTAACATTCAGGTGAGCTTCACATCTGTGGTTATGATGCAGTTGAATATTCATGTTGGGTTCATGCATTTGCCAGATGCTTTTATCCAGAGTGAGCTGCATTGCATTGAAAGTATAAATTCGATTAGTTTGTGTTCCCTGCGAATCAAACCCAGTGATTTTTTTTCTATGTCCTATGAAATCAGTTTTATTTTATTCCACAAATTCCATTTTGTTTAGTTCCAAATGTCATTTTTTTCTGTTTTAATTATTCAGGATTCCATTTTTTATTTTTTATTTTTTTTAATTAAAACTGAAACTTGCATAGTTTAACTAAAATTGCTTTAGTTATATAAACTTACAAAATAATTGTTTTTTATTTTATGTTAATTTTTCTGAATTCTGTTTAAATGGTTAAATTCAACTTTATAAAAGTTTAACAGTAATTAAATTTTATTGCCCTATGAAATCCTTTTTTCTTTTTTCTCCCCAAATTCATTTTTTTTCTGTTTTAATTATTCTGGATTCCATCTTTTCCATTTTATTTTTTTTTTCAGAATAATTTTTCGTAGTTAAAATTGTATTCATCAAAATTAAAATCATGAAACTTATTATAAAGAAATTATTAAAAGTTGAACAAAAAAAATTTTTTTAGGCCCTATGAAATACTACGACAGCATTTTAGTGCCACGTTAAAAAATAAAAAAAATCTAAGATTACGAGATTAAAGTCGTAATATTTTGAAAATAAAAATCTAAATGACGAGAATTCAGTCGTAGGAATTTTCAAAATTAAAGTTATAATATTTAGTGTAAATATATGTGGGATTATTAGCATCTTACCACGTGTCATATACTCACAGGGACAGTATGCTTGGAAATAATATTTCACGTCTTTTAATGCATTTATTATTTGTATTGTGCAGCCACCCAATAATAGCATTAAGCTTTGCGCTTTTGGTGCTTTTAATAAATATAAAACAAAGACTCTACTTAAAATATTTTGACTTTATTCTCAAAATATTACATTAGTCTCGTAATCTTAGATATTTTACTTTTTTATTTCCGTGGCACTAAAACGCTGTCGTAAAATTCTCCTCCCCACAAATTATTATTTTTTGCAAATTCCATGTTTAAAAATCTAAAATAGTGTCTAATCAATTGAATTCAGAAAACTTTAGCAATTTAATGTCATTCTTACAATAATACGGCCCTATGAAATGTTTAATATTTTTTAGAAATTCTGTTGTCTTTTTTTAATTTTTCTGGATTTATGATTCAATATAAAATTATCAAAATTGGTGGTAATCATATAAAGACATAAAACATTAACAATTTAATATCTTTAACCATTTAATTTAAGATCTTTTAAAATGTAATCAAATGCACTTGCAAACAACTTGCTGTTTTACTGTTAAAAAAAATTAAAACACGGGATAAAAATGGTGTGATTTTTCCCTAAAATTAAATGTTGTGCTGAAGCAAGGACAAAATCCGCTGCGGGAACAGATTCCTTTTTTTTGTAGTTCATGTATTCAAGTTTGGCTTTCTTTTGTACCGTTTTGTGTTTATGATGTAGAGAGAAATGTTCAGTTTTGATACGCAATGTTTTTGGTTCTGTTTGGGGATCGCCACTAATGCGTGAATCCCACAAAACCGCTCGCATTTCACCTCTAAAAATAAAAGGATTTTTTTTTAAGGAAAATTAAGCCTGTTTTATGGAACGTTAAGATTTTTCTTTTCTATGGCCAACACATTTGCCTCAAATTCTCATTATTGTAATGCAAAAAAAAAAACAATCTCTCGGATGCATTTTTTTTAAATGTAAATGATGCATAAATAGTGTTTATTGTGTGTCCTTTATGCTTTTTTTTTTTTTTTGGTCTGATATTACATATATAAGGATATAACAATACAAAAATAAAATAAAACACTTGGCATTAAGATAATGTGGAAGATTCATAATGATCCTAAAAATAGGCTTTATTTTCTTCAGGTAAAATACAGTTATTTAATTTTATTTAAATACCATTTTATATTTTATTATATAAAATATACATTTATTTTATTTTGAGGGGGGTGAAATATCAGAACGTGTTTTTGTTTTTCACTCTAATATCGGCGATCATCCCCAAAAATTTTTTAAGAAAATTAAGCCTGTTTTACAGAACATTAGTTTTTTCATTCTCACATTTTTATGACCAACACATTTGCCTCAATTTCATTATTATAATGCACACAAAAAAACGAATGTAAAGAAATGTAAATGTAAGTTATTACACATTGAGAGTTTAGTTTTTGTGTCCTTTATGCTGATTTAAATTTAAATCATCGTGTTACAGTATTTTTACTGTATTGCATTTAAAAAATATGTAAGGATATAAGAATAATAATTACAAAAACACTCAAAAATAAAACACTTGGACACATTAAAGTAATGAAAAATAATGCAAAAGTCGTAATGATCCTAAAAGTAGACTTTATTTAAATTTTTTCAGGTAAAGTATATTTTTATTTTATTTATTTTATTTTTGGGGTGAAATATCTGACCGTGCTTTTATGGGATTCGCTCTAATATCTGCCACCGTTCCCCAGAGTATACCAGAGCTTGCGTTTTTCATTGTGGATTTCTGAAGTATTGGAAAACGCTGGATGATATTTTCTTCTTTTGTGCGTCTCATTTAGAAGTACCGAACCGAACCACGCGTATCTGAACTGCAGAGAAAACCACTCGGAAGCGTCTCTTTATGCAGATGTGTGACTGAGTCTGAGCATTTCAGCCGTGTATTATCAACACGTTTCTGAGGCCAGCTATCAATTAGCTTTGGATTTACGCAAGCCGGACTTTGAGTTTTCACCCAATGCAAACTCAATCTAACTACTCGGATAGTACGTAGTTAACAGATTTATTAGCATCGTGCTGCGCATTTGATCAACTCGACGTGTTGATTCATGAATTTGCTGCCACTTCATATCAATATTTCTACACAAAGTAGAGAAAAATAGATCGCGTTGGGTCTTTACAAGCCGACCCGGAGTTGTTGTTTTTTTTTGCTTCTTTTATAAAGTTCTGTTAAATGTTTGTGTTTACTTGTTTTTGTTATTATCTGTGTTGATTTTAAATGTTAGATAAATGGCAAAGCTAGTGCTGAAGTACGCCAGGAACAAATTGTGTTTCATATTTCTGTGCTTGGATATAATTTGTCATTTAGAGATGCCAATTTTGCGTTTAACACACAGAAACGTTCCTTATTGTTTATAAGGTGAATAATCACTGTGCCCAAATTTTGCAGAAGCGACAGTGGTTTCTTTCTTGATGTTTTCAATCCAGATTGAAAGGAAACAGTTGAGATCATTTTCTTTTTCTTCATTAGTACTAACATCGTCTTTTACAACTAAAAGATGATTATATGAATTATTCTTGTTTATGTATTGCAAAAATGTAAACTCTTAAAGGAGAGAGAGAGTGGCCTTCCTCATTCTCCGGCCGCGGGGAGTGATTTTGTACTCGTGCCTGCATCGTTTTGTTCAGTTTTATCCTGGAGGCAGTCAGGTTTTTATTCAGACGTCACGTCTTGTGGCTTCAACTTGAGAATATTTTATAAATTCACATGAAGAGGGACGTGAGAATTCCAGATGTATGTTAAGTGAATTCTTGCTCCTCTTGAGCAAATAAAGTACTTTCTTTGTAAACCTGGATCTGTTTGTCAATTCTGTTCGTCCAGCTTCAGCTGGAGCTTCACGAGTCAAATCTTGACTGGTTTTGATCAAGTAAGCGTCAGAATAACGTCAGTAATATCTCCAGATGAACACTTACTGGACTGAAGCAGCTCAGCTTTACTTGATTCTCCATCAATCATGTTTTAGAGTCTCAAATCTGATCCTCAGGATCTTTTGAGGAGCGTTTGTTTCCAGAAGCTTTACGTTCCCTGTTCCTCAGCGGAGGAATGATCTTCACAAGCCTCCAGAACATCTCACATCTTCTGAGGAGCCTTTATTTCTTCAGCTCTCAATCACTGCTTTATATGTTTGGAGCATTTCAGTCTCGTCTCATTATTACTGGAGATATAGAGCGACCACTGATATTTAGATCAGTTTATGTCAGTATGTGCTGCACTGTAAGAAAGATCTCATTGATTTACATCACAAGCAGCAGGATTGCATCACTTTTTGGTCATATAAATATCATGCACCAAATTCTATGTTTTTGCTCAGTTTTGGGCCTCGGAATAAAACTGAGGATCATATTCTCCCTGTATCGTGCTATATGAGCCATAAAAGACTGATGTAGGACATATGAGAGGCTACTTTTAAAAGATTATTTTTAAATTGTCCAAAAGTTGCGATTGACTGATAGATTGAACATTAGAAAAGACGCACATTATGAACAAGTTGCACAAAATACAAAAGATGCAAGAAATCAGAACGCGTAAATATGGCCAAATAAAGTGCTTTACGTTCAGGATGCTGCACATGCATTATTAGAGAGTACCAGTGTTGGGCGCGAGTTAATCTGTAATCTGATTACTTTTCAAGTGACTAGTAAAGTAATGAATCTGAGTTACTTTTTCAAATAAGTAACGCACGTTACTTTGTTTCTCGTGTATTGTCTGACAGCTCTCCTGTCCTCAAGTTGAGAGGAATCAGGAGTGAGTGCAGAAGCGTTGTAGTTCTAGACTAACTGTCCACATGTGTTTACTCATCACACTTGCACAAAACAGATTCGGTATACCTCAAACTTACTTTTTAGGGAGTAACTCAATATTGTAATGCATTACTTTTAAAAGTAACTTTCCCCAACACTGGAGAATACACAGCACTGTTAGAATATGGCATAATATATATATATATAGATATAGATAGAAATGAATTGTGTTCGTACGCATCTTCTTTGTGACGTGTTACTTTAAACCTTTAAGACAGAAATAAAAAAGAAGACTTTATAGCGCAATTTTAAATAAAATAAAAAAAATACAACTGAAATCAATTAATTTATCGTGCTTTATTGTGAAGTGACATGTGGCCAAGTATGGTGACCCATACTCAGAATTAGTGCTCTGCATTTACCCATCCAAAGTGCACACACACAGCAGTGAACACACACCCAGAGCAGTGGGCAGCCATTTTATGCTGCAGCGCCCAGGGAGCAGTTGGGGGTTCAGTGTCTTGCTCAAGGGCACCTTTGGGTTATGAGTCCAACTCTCTAACCATTAGGCCACGACTTCCCTTGTGTTCGTACGCATCTTCTTTGTGACGTGTTACTTTAAACCTTTAAGACAGAAATAAAAGAAGACTTTATAGCGCAATTTTAAATAAAATAGAAATAAATACAATTTAAATAAATGAATTTATCGTGCTTTATTGTGTTCGTACGCATCTTCTTTGTGACGTGTTACTTTAAACCTTTAAGACAGAAATAAAAAAGAAGACTTTATAGCGCAATTTTAAATAAAATAGAAATAAATACAATTTAAATAAATGAATTTATCGTGCTTTATTGTGTTCGTACGCATCTTCTTTGTGACGTGTTACTTTAAACCTTTAAGACAGAAATAAAAAAGAAGACTTTATAGCACAATTTTAAATAAAATAGAAATAAATACAATTTAAATAAATGGCGTTACATTGCTGACAGAATGCAGTGTTTTATAATCTAGAGATGTAGCACACACACTATTGAGTCAAGTGCCAGTGGATTAGCAACCCTCTACATTGCGAGTAAATCACTCACATATGTGACTAAATCTTACTCTGGGCAACTAAATAATGTCTAACATTAGCCATTGGCTAATAACTTCTTAGATTTTACACGCCAGTATGTGTGAGAGAGGCGTTCAACACAGATTTTCACTCGATAAACACGCTGACTGAGCGCTCGAGTTTCGCTCTCCATCAAGCGATCTGTACTATTTGGATGCGCTCGATGGATCATGTCATGTACTCAATGGATGCTATGTAGCACGCAGCGCACCTGTATGTGGCGCACCGTAAACTAGTGTGAAGGCACGACTCACCGTCGCTTTACTGATAGCGCTGTGTTTCTCACACATGCAAAGAGAGAGAGCGAGAGTCTTGCATGCCACACTGAATCGATGCGTACATGTAAACCATATTATTTGTTGTATTTTCCTGTCAAAATAACGTGTGTGTGTGTGTACTTAACCTTATTTTGGGGACAAATTTGTACCCAAAAGTGAGCAAAACCTGACAAAATCGGCAAAAATAAATTTGTGGATGTCCTCATTTGTAAAACTGTTATAAAAATAAAGTACACAAAGTTTTTTTTAACTTTTGAAATTGTAAAAATGCAGAAAGTTATCTGTGAGGGGTAGGGGTGGGTTTAGGTTAAAAAGTGTATAACTATCTGTATATAAAAACAATCGAAGTCTATGTAATGTCCCCATTTAGATAGCTAAGTGTGTGTGTGTGTGTGTGTGTGTGTGTGTGTGTGTGTGTGTGGGTGTGTGTGTGTGCGTGTTTTTGTGAAAAATGAAGA